AAAAGTAAACCATGGACACTAGGGTCCACATCTTTGGTATATTGGGGTTTAGTTATGGCCTGATTTTTACAATGTTTTCGACTTCACATGGCATGTTTTGAAGGCACTCTGTTTGCAAAGTTTTATTTCAATATATTTATTAGTACTTGATTTGTATACTGGAAAATCAAAAAATGCAATGGAATTTAAATTTGTGTTATATTCATACTAGAACTCATTTCGAAACATTTTCACAACTTCAATTTTATCAACTCCGAAAGAGACGCTTATTTTACTTTAATTACACACTTAGTTCACAATTGGTATTCGGCTATGACAACATATTAGCAGGAATCCGTTGTATTCTAAGTAGGCCTTGCTTTAGCAAATTTTGAAATTCATGGATTGCTATGTTCCCTCAAAGGTTACTATATTTTACTTTACCATATAAGTGCACCGGGTTTATTCCGATTAATTAAATTAATTTTACAATAATTTCATGATTCTGTTTTAAAAATTCACTTGCACGTCCCATACAAGAATACAATTATGATTACGTATACCACACTTTTTGTCCACGAGCTACGGCGGGTAAGATTGATTGTTAGCGTTTATATAATATATTTTACCGTTTATTTTGGGTGTACCTAACTAAATGGTTTTAGGAAATGTGAAGCTCAAATGCTATATTTTCCCCAAAGCACTCAGAAGTTTCCGACCAATGCTTTCAAAGAATTTGACTAACTTTTAATATTTTCCAAAAAGTCTCTGGAATACAACGCCCAAAACGTTGAATTTCATTAGGAGATTTCAAGATTATTTGGAAAATAGCTACAGGGTCGCCAATTTTATTGCTGCAAATTTGTTTTGAATAAAAAAATGTTTGACATAAATAGTAAATTGACGTAAATCAAATGTGGTAACTCTGATCTAAAGCTGGTAGAAATCTGTGTATACTTTCGCCTACTCTCCACAGAGAGTACCCATTATACCTCACTTGCGCTGTCACTTAATACGTTTGAATTTGTTACTTAAGTCGACGAAGTCAGACATTATTTACCCATAGCAATGGTAGATATGCCAAATACAATTATTTTTGTGCCTTTGTTTTATTAATTAGTTAGAATGTGAAATACACTCGTCATGGATTTTAATTTTTTAAATTCCCGCTGCTCTAGCCAATATTAATGAAAATCACAAGATATTACCGTTTCCATAGACGGGAGTTAAAATACTCAAGCGAATAAGAATAGTTAATATAAAAAGCACATACACGTAAATTATTCGAACTAAGTTAGTTGGGGAAGTACTCAAAATGAAAAGGAAATAGGTTTTTGATTTCATTTCAACGTTTAAGTCCTGTTAGCATTAATTCACTTGGCGAAATGCTGTAAAACCTACTTGTAAATGGACATTTCACCTAAATGAGACCACCAGAATGGCCTGCAAATTAAATACAAAATTTGCTGTGCCTATTCAATTTTAAACTAGTTCGACATTGCGCTTCGGCACTTAAGCCTAAATAACAGCAGACCAAGTACCACTTGATCCAACTTGAGCAGCACACAACCCCACACGATTGCGTTTTCTCTATCTCTGTCCACTTGAATATTTCGTCTCCTTCCTCTTCTTCTTTTAAATTCCTTTAAACCGCGTGCGTTGCACAAGTAACAGTTGCTAGAAGCAGGTGTATGTTTGTCTTCATTTTTGGGTTTCTGGCATATATGTTCACAAAAGTGGGTAAATAAATACCCTGTAAGTCCTTACTGTTATAAGTGGAAATGAAGAAAATTTTCAATTAAAGAAGAGCTAGTTCCTCAGAAACAATTTAGAGAAAGGGGAAGCTAGTAACTAAGAAGCTGGCATAATGGCTACTTATAAAATATGGAATGAAATTCACCAAATCAATTTTGAAAAATCAAGTCCGCTACAAACCTTTTAAAATAAATAATTACGTAATCAGTAATATTACCGAGTAATAGATTTTTGTTACTCTTAAAACCGTCTAATAAACGGCGCCGATTCTAATAAAATTATGCTAAACAAGTAAGGAAGGGCTAAGTTCGGATGTAACCGAACATTTTATACTCTCGCAAAGTCAAATGGTATAGTCGTTTGAGATTTCTTTGTGGATTGACTGATATTTTCGGTAAAAGGTCAATTATAGGCACTGGGGTCCACATATTTAGTACTTAGAGGCTTGAACAGTTTTGGTTCGGTTTAGACAATTTTTGGTCACAAGGTGGCATACTTTAAACGTATTATTTCAACTATTTTCACACCGTCAATAGAAGTGTTAAAAAAATTTGCTTCCAGTGAATTTTGTTATTATAGCATTAGCAGTTTAGGAGATATGCACATTAAACCTATTAGAGGCGGGATCACGCCCACTTTAAAAAAAAAATATAAACTGCAGATGCCCCTCCCTAATGTGATCCTGTGTACCAAATAACAGTCTTGTATCTTATTTCGGAGCTTAGTTATGGCAATTTATTTGTTTTTGATTAATGGCGTTTTGTGGGCGTGGCAGTAGTCCGATTACGCCCATCTGCAATACCAACCGTCTCACGGTACCAAGAAACATGTCTACCAAGTTTCATAAAGATATCTCAATTTTTACTCAAGTTACAGCTTGCACAGACGGACAGACAGTCACCCGCATTTCAACTCGTCTCTTCATCCTGATCATTAATATATATATATAACCCTATATCTAACTCGATTAGTTTTAGGTGATACAAACAACCGTTATGTGATCAAAACTATTATACTCTGTAGCAACAGGTTGCGGGAGTATAAAAATTATTGCACCATGTATATTTTGTTTATGCTTTTCCTACACGGTTCATCTATATGAATACTAAAACTAGCGCTAAGCTTCCTCGGCGCGCTGTAGAAAAGCTGAAATATTCAGAAACAGTTTTGTGACAGGAAGAGTATGAATGCTGCAGCACAACATTGAAAGATGGCAGCAATGTGCGTGAATAGTAAAAAACGATATTGGAACTAAGCAATCAAACGGCCAACCAACCGCACTGCCTAAAATACCGAGGAGAACACGAAGCGTTTTATGCGCCCAAAGCACGTACCGTTGTGGGCACAAATTGATGTTGGTGAGCAGGGTGAGAGTTTAAGAAATCTTCTATTTCCTAACTACGTATAATAATATTGTATATACCTACATATATAATACATACTATATACTTACATATAGTGCTTATAATATTTCTGTACATACATATATTAATTTGATTATATTTGCTTCAAATCTTAAGACTTTCGAATTTCTTGCTGAAAAGTAATATTGAGGAATGATATTTTTACTAGTTTTGAAACGTGGTTGTACCTCCCCATTTAATTATATTAAAAGAAAATCTGGAAGAACGAACATTACACTGCGTTGAAAGCATGGAATATCGTTTTATAATTACATCATCAGACCAGAAAAGATAGGTGGAAATCTGTACTGCTGACATGTGACAAAAAAGTTTAAACCTTGCTTCAATCCTCAAATATCCTATATAATATATATAATGTTAGCTCTTCAGTGGGAGAATGTGAGATATCTCTATACAAGTATATGTACATAGATAGGTTAACCTATTTCATATAACGTAAAGTGATTCCAGAAAATTAACATGTCAACGGGGTTTTTCCCCAAGCTCAGGGGTTAAAAAAGTCGATTGATTCTTTTTACGGGTGTTATATTAATATTTAGGGGGTTTTACCGGGATATTTTTTACAAAATTCATTATAAAATTTTAATAAAAATCCCAAAAAACTCAGGATTATTCGATACTACTGTACTTGGTACACATATTCATTAGCACCCATTGGTATTGCAGATGGACGTAATGGGAATACTGCCACGCCTATAAAACGTTATTAAACGAAAGCTTATAAGGTGTCATAACTAAGCACTATATTAAGATACAAAACTCTGATTTCGTATAAGGCGTCGCAGTAGTGAGGGGCACTTGTGGGCTAAAAAAATTTTTAAAGCCATATTTGGCCATATTTTCCAAAGTGCTAAAGCTAACTCAGCCAAAATTGCTTAAAAAAGTCTTTTCAGCATTTCTTTATACACTGTGAAATCAGATAATAACCACGTTCACCCAAATAACGGCTTTGTTGAAAATTACTAAAATTGCGATGACTCACTGAATAATCGAGCTACATACATTTAATTTCACAACCAGTATGGAAGGGAAGGGCTTCATGGGAGCCGGTGTAAAAATTGGACAATGAGCGTTTCACCGCCCACTTTTATTTGAAATACTATATCTCATTAACTACTTGACCAATTTCAAAATTTGGTGTGTGAGGTTATCCAATTATTAGTATTGTACACTATGAAGATGGGCAAAATCGGTTAACAGCCACAGTATACAGATCAAACATCAGTGAAGTTATTAGTATAAAACATTTATGCATGCATGCAAGCATTTATGCACTTAATCACAATATTAGGCTGTTAAATAGATTTTCCCACTAGTCTACTAGATTTAACCAGATTTCGCCATACAAAAATTACACTTGTTAATCTCGTCATCATATTTGATATTTTTATTATTAACTTATACTACAAGTCATATACTCACTTAGCTTCATTACTGCAACTTGCTGTGGGAAGCTTAGTATATACTGATATCCATAATTGTTACTACCCAAGGACACAATGCTAACGTAAATATTCTCGATTATTAAGATTTATGTAGCTAATATCGCCAAAAACGATATGAATTCAAAAAATAGAGGAAATTTATTATATTGGATATCCGGGTAAAAATCAACCAAGGGGGAAATCATCATATAGAGTCTCTGAAGCGTGCTAACGCTGAGCTCTGGACATTCGACATTTCCTTATAAATGGCAAAACAATTCCGAAAGTAAGTACTCGAGATCATGAAAGAGAATTTTGAAACCAAATTAGTTCCAATTCATTCGACATTCTTTTGTGCAGTACTAAGATTTTTCACTTTCTACTGGTTAATCATAATAAATATAGAAATTTAAACTGATTTTTTTTTCAAAATTGAATAAGTTCATGAGTTCAATCAAAAAGCCGTTGATAATATTAAAAAGTTTAAATTTTATTATTATCAGCCGCTTTACACAATATTTAGGTTTTACTGTGGAGAATGTGTGCTATTCTGTCAAACAAAGAGGTTACAATAAAGAAACCTTTTTGAAACATTCACACTTGCGGCAGATTAACCCGAGCGAGTTATATCGAATGAATGAATACATGACTCTATGGAAAATGCAGTTACGAGTATATTTGACATTTTTAAGTGCCTGCTGCTATTGTGAAAGTATACTACACAATCACAGATGAAATGCACGTGCGTATGAATAACGGTAACAATTCCGCACAAAAATCGTACCACATTTATTTGCTTCACCAGAGAGCTTATGTACAAAAGCGAAATACAATAAAACTCTAGTTCTGATATCTTGGCGAGGCCGGCTTCTTTATTCAACATTTCAATTGTTGGCGAAGTGGTGAGTTGTTACGGATTATACAGCAACATAAGAAATAAATGTAGTTCATAATCGGCCGCATATCTGGATATGTTGGTATAGCTGCATGTGCCAGCAAAGTGGAAATAACTGGAAACCCCCAGAGGTATGTCTTAGCAGCTTTGCTGACCTTTTCATATTTTCCATTAGAACTTTGACTATGTGCTCTGCTATATTCTCTGAATTGCTACCCAGCACGTACAAACATACATACCTTCATAAGTAATTATGAAATTATGTGAAAATGTGGAAATGTGTTGGGAACGTAAAAAGCGGAATGAAACATAAGGCAATATATACTACAAATACTGTATCAATGCGGGAAATCAGAGATTAAACATATTTCAAATAATTTGCAATAATTTCTTTCATACGAATATAAAGTATACCAACTGTTTGCATACAATCAGAAAATTTGATATAATATGTACTTGTATAGGGTCTACCAACAAGAGCGACGTGATGTTAAAATTAAATAAAATACTCAAATTTGGTCTAAATGGGTTCTGTCTTTTTGTTTTTTGTTTATGCTGATAATTTTATTATATTTATGCTGTCTTCGAGCTCCTCGAGCAAACATGAGGCGGTGCGTCGTCATCGATTTCATCAAATTTCGAGAAAAATAAGTCGGTTGTCCCGCCACACCACAATCCGTACCAAGCGATAAATTTTTGGGGATGTAATTGCGTTTCCTGACACAAGGATTAGACTCACCCCAACAGCTAATATAATTTAATAGTTTCTTTACGAAACCATTAACCCAGAAATGGAATTTGAGAAGATGATTTTGCGACGAACACGAATTTATGAATTTTCGGAGAACGGAAATTAAGGTAACAATCTTAGACAATTTCAACGCGTTGTACCAAAGTGAAACGGGACATGATGAAATGGCAAGCCTTACTGAACACACTGACAAAATTTGACACAAATCCGTAAGCAAACGTGGCCGCCACGAGCTGTCAAAATCACCACATCCCTATTGAATAAATATTTTACATTTTGAAAAAACAAGATACATATCTATTAATTATATATATATACAGGATCTATTAATTTTATTTCGACAAAATTATTCTGCTTGAACCCAAATATGTGTAAGAAAGAACAAACAAAAAGAAACAAGAACTTCGGTAACACCGAAACGGTAATAACCTTCGCAAATAAAAAAGTCGGCGGTTTTGACAAACGAGCAGCTTCTTGAAGAGAAAAAGGCGTGTGCAAAAATTCAGATCAATATCTACAAAACAGAAGGACTAGTTCCCGTATATACAAGCAGACATATAGACGTGTCTAAATCGATTCAGCTCGCCCTCCTGATCATTTATATACATATATGGTATGTATATTATTTATAGGATCTCCGACGTTTTCTTCGCATAAAACGAATACTTTCGTTTGTAATCCAGAGTTGATCAACTCTGTCAAAACTTTAGAAAACATTTTTTTTTTTTAAATCGATGACGTATTTGTTTTATCTTTTGGTATTAACTTAAACTTACCTATCAATCCAATTTATTCTTTATATATCGCTCATTTTGGTACGGTATCTGATATTTCCGGATAATAGTATTAGGATATCTCGATCAATAACTGTATAAAGTCAACCGAAAGGTCAGCAGCCGGTAAATTTGACATTTGAAGGCTATTATAAAGTCTGAGCCTATTCCATCATTTCCCAACCACACTAGCGTGTGTATTTAAGAAAACATACTTATTCATTTCGTGAATGTTTCTCACATATTGACCGATATTATCTGTAAAAAGTGAAATGGAAGCAATTAGACATGTGGTTTTCAATGAGGCAATATGGTGTTGGTGTTTGTGACAGTTGTTACTTTATTTATACTCAATTTGTCTTGCAATTTCATAATTGACAAACTTTATCCGGAACAACATTTGCAAATCGTGTAAATTTATTGCAAAAACCAGAAAAAACGTTAACTTCGGTTTCATCGAAGCTATAACACCCTTCACAAATACAAAAGTTTCCTTACTAGAACTTGATTCCGATCGTTCAGTTTGTATGGCAGCTATACGATATAGTGATCTGATCAAAACAATTTATTCGGAGATTACATTGTTGCATTAAATAAAAGTCCATGCCAAATTTCTTGAAGATATTTCGTCAAATGAAAAGGCTTTCCATTTAAGCACTTCTGATTGTTCAGTTTGTATGGCAACTATATGTTATAGTAGTCCGACATCGTTCCGACAAATGAGCACCTTTTTAGTGAAAAAAGAAAAGGTGCAAAATTTCAAATCGATAGCTTAAAAACTGAGGGACTAGGTCGTATATATACAAACAGATGGACATGGCATCAACTCAGCTCATCATGCTGATCATTTATGTATATATTTTATAGGGTATCCGGCGTTTCCTTCTGGGTGTTACAAACTTCGGGGCAAACTTAATATACACTATTCGGGGTATAAAAATAATGGTTCGGTTCACGCAATGCCTCGTGCGCTGCGTCCAATATTAGGTCGACATAATCGCACAAAAGAGTCAGTAATTCGAGTAGCCAGGGATCGGTTTTGCACCGCATTTACTCTAGTGGATAATGCGAGTTTAACACCGCTGGACTATTTTTAATAGGGTTATGTGAAATCTCTTGTCTACGCAGATAATCCCGAGGCGATTGTCTCCGTGGAAGAGAATATTCGGCGCGTTATTTCTATTGCCGCAAAAATGGTCGAAAATTGGACCTCTCAGCTGGAATTCATTCCACTCAGCCGCGATGGTAATGATTGCAAACCCTTAATTTTTAATAAAGCTAATTTCTTGGCCATAATAATAAATTATATGCGTTTTATTTCTTCTTGAAAACCACATGTGTAAAAAAAACACCTTTTAAATTAAGCTCTTTAATCGATTCCTTCCAAAGCGCACCGACTTTATTTTTCACTGTTCAGAAAGGCTCGGGCGATGTCTGTATGAGCTACCATCGATAACTAATTTTAACATTATTTACAATTACTTTTATTAGCACTTATATTTACTCACAGGTTTGCGTGCACCAAATTCACACAAATAATTTGAAGTGATTTGTTTGGAATTCGTTTTTCAAAACATTCATTTCCACTCGGAATTCATTTTGAACCAAAAAAACTGTTGAAATTAAAAAGTGGTAGTGAAAGATAAAACACAGATTGTCGGATTGAAAGTGAATTTGCTCAAAATTCACTCGGACGTGAATTACATAACTTGCCTGATAACCATTATGTGAATAATAAATATTATCAATTGTATGACACCGTCATCAAAAAGTATGCTCAAAGTCATGCACAACGACTTCAACAACATATCAACATTGAGGCTATTCAGCTCCTTAATAATGATGACCTTACCAGAAGATTAAAGCGAGTAAAACCTTTCGAACTTGTGTAAAAAAAAAAATAAAAAATGAACTAAAAAATAAAATAATCATTGTTCAGATCTCACTAAAATAGAGACTATAATACAAACATATGTATAAGTTTAACATCTGAAATGAATATCATAGGATAAGCATTTTGTAATTTTAAAACCGTATACATTTAAGTCAGAAACAAATAGTTTATTAGTATTATTTACTAGATTGCTATAAAATAAATTCCCCAAAGGGTTGTTTTTACAAAATAAAAAAAAAATAAAAATTGTATGACATACGAAAATCTCTGATATGAAGAGTTTTTTAATTTTTCAGTCTTGTTCTAGCGAGGTTTTCATCACCCTTTATATAGGAAAAGTAAAAAGTTCGTTCGGTTTTTTATTGATTTTTCAAAAGATGATAACTTTGTGTACATTTGTCCGATTTAAGTCAAATATGTGCCGTTTTGTTCGTAAACTTGTTGCCAACGAGATGCCAACCTCATTATACCCTTCTCGTAGAAGGCTGCGTCCCTATTGGCAAAAAACTCGGAGAGCAAATTTTCACAGGCCTCTCTTGAGGCCAACTTCTCACCATTAAGCGCGTTCGCCATGGACAGGAAAATATGGTAATCACTTGGTGCCAGGTCCGGACTATAAGGTGGGTGCATTAGGACCTCCCATCCGAGCTCCCGGAGCTTCTGGCGCGTCACCAAAGACGTGTGTGGCCTGGCATTGTTCTGATGGAACACAATTCGGCCGCTGTTGATCATAGATGGCCTCTTCTGGATGAGTGCTGCCTTCAAGCGGTCTAGTTGTTGGCAGTAGAGGGCTCAATTGAGCGTTTGGCCATAGGGGAGCAGCTCGTAGTAAATGATTTCTTGCGAATCCCACCCAACCGTCAATCAGGTCTTGGCCACCATCTGGGCCACTTCCCCGAGCTTTGACCACGACCGTTTGCGCTCGATATTGTCATAAGTGACCCATTTTTCATCGCCAGTCACAATCCGCTTCAGAAACGGGTCGATTTTGTTCCGATTCAGCAGCGATTCGCAGATGGAAATTCGGTCCATCATGTTTTTTGCGTTAGTTCGTGTGGCACCCAAACATCGAGCTTCTTTTTGAATCCAAGGTTATGCAAATTGTTCCAAACGGTTTTCTGGCTTATCTTTAGTTCCTCAGCAAGTAAATAAGTGCTCACGTGACGGTCTGTTTCCACTATTTCCATGATTTTATCGCCATTTTCGAAGACAGGCCACCCGACGCGTGGTGCATTTTTGACATCGAAATTACCGGAATGGAACCTAGCAAACCACTTTTGTGCTACACGTTCGTTTACAGTATCGGGCCCATAAACTAAATTAATTTTTTCAGTCGCTTTGGCTGCTTTTTCGCCTTGATCGAAGACAAATTATAAAATATAGCGAATTTTCTCATTGCTGGTGTCCATCTTTGACGAGCGCTCACAACATACTGAGTCAATCAATCGAAAAACTGTCAAGGACAAACTTTTAGCGCGAACAAATACGTTTTCAGCGCCGTATAGTATGACATGATGCGACACGTAACACTAGTACTATGGACAATAACGCCATCTCTTAAATAAAAACCGAACGAACCTTTTACTTGGCCTAATATATTTTAAGATCTTTCCCTAAAACCGTGCGAAGAACTTTGAGCAAATTGTCTTCATCGTAAGTTCGCATGCCCTTAATAGTTACATTGAGTACTCTTAGCAACTTAAGGACCCATTACACATATTACAAGGTGCGTTCCAAAGTAAACTCTAGTGGCGCCATCTATATGTCGACTAGTGCGTTAGAATATCCTTTATCGGAAGTGAAATTATTGCGTTTTAAGTGTCAGTATGTTTTTGTCATCGGTACGAAAATTGAGCTTCGAACAAAGAGCCAACATAAATTTTTTTTTTAAATTGGTAAAAAAGGAAAGCGTTGTGCTGACGTGGAGGCCGTTCAAAAGGCTTGCACCGAGCAACGAGCTAAAACACTCGTTCGACATGCTTTTGGACCGTGCAAAAAGCTGTATTAAAGCAGAAGGAGACTATTTTGAATAAAATTAATTGATTTTGCCGATAAAACCATTTATTTTGTTT